TTTGCGTGTATTACCAATAAACAAACACACACACAAGTTTTCAGGCTGCCCACAGACATGACAGACAAAAAGAGGACTTGTCACTATTGCCTTTGGGATTACAACTAAAATTACTTCAACTTTTAATACAGGGAAAATGGAATCAAAGAGCAGCGTCGGCTTCAGTGCCATACATTTCACACAACGTTCATTTAAGCTGACAAAATAAAAAAACTCTGCAAATAGATCCTGTTGCTATGTAGCTGTTTTCTCATATGAAAGCTAACAAAGGCTAAACAAAACTTTGCCTACAATATACTTTTCTCTATTACACTCAATGAGCTCAGCTTTGTTGCTGTCAGCCTATAAAACTAACTCTTATACTGAGTCACTAAGAGGATAGAGATGACAAACAGCTCTGTTACAGAAGGCTGACAATACTTGCCTTGAGAAGCAGCAGTGGTACAACGATGGTGGCAAAGCTCACTTCATCTTTGCTTAACATACAGCTGACAACACTTCTACAGGCACTGTGATACCTCCAGTCAGTCTGAGTCTCAATTTTAATTTAATCCCCCAAAGACCAGTACTGTGGCATGAAATGTCCTATCTGATTTCCCCATAAAAATTTTTTGTCATGAATCCTTAGCATAATATCTCACGGGGAAAATTGCTCCAGTATGAAGCCACTATAGCTGCATGCTTGTTAGCAAAGGAGGGGAAATAAATATACTGGTGCTATCCTAAACATATTCATAGCCCCATACTCAGAATTAAAAACAAGCAAACAAAACAAAACAAAAAACCTTACATGATTCTCAGGGAGGCTCCAGATAAATATTGAAGGCAGTTCAAAAACTAATTGCAAATTACTTTTTAACTTGACTGTATAGAAAGATGGCATAACAAATATTTTGGGAAATCACGAGAGCGATTGTGCTCTCCCATCAGCATTGCCCTTCAGTTCAGCAGCTGGCACTCCCATTGTCAGCTATGCTGCCCAAGGCTTTTTAACTTGGACATGAAGGATGACCCTGGGCTGAGGCTTGGCACATAAGGGCTCAGGCTGGAAGAGAATTGAGTAAGAGGTGCCGACACTTTGAAAACCAGCATTAAACAGTCAAATTATGGGAACAGAAGCAACACAAATGGTGGTTGAGACTTAACAATGTACTGGTAACTCAAAACCAGAGTGAAACATTGCATTTTCTGGAGACTTTCTACAATTCGGACAACAGTCAGGTCTGTAGTAAAAGCATTCAAACTCAGCAGCAAAGTACAGTCTGACCTCCAAATGTGCTGTACACATCCTACAGGCATCAGTGGTGTTTGGGATAGCATCATACACAGAAAATGAATAATCTCTGAGGAAGGTGCTTGAACATGGACAGAAGGGCCTGCCTTCAAAATGTAAATGTTTGACTGTTCAAGCCCTATTCCTTTACCATTTCCTTCTATCCTGTTATCAGCCAGATTTCCTCCTGTTAAGGAAAAATTACAAGCTGTATCTGAGGGAACTTTCTGCAGCTCAGCTATGCCAGGTCCCATGCAGGCAGTGACCCTCTGGTGCCATACAGCTGCCTGCATGGTTGCACACACATTGCAGGCCTACAGTTAAATAGTCTATTTTTTTGACACTCGATGCCAAATTCACATAGACCAGAGGCATAGTAAGTATGCCCAGGGCTAGCGTTATCAGACAGATTAAGGTGTCATATGCATCAGGACATATGTAACACCAGCTTCAGCAAAATCCTTTATATCAATGTCCACACGTGACATGGTAGCAAAGGTGTCATCGCAGCCATTTTGAGATGGGAATACCCCAGTTTTGTGCGCTTCCTCGGCAGCACCTTCTAGTTTAACCTGTGGCAGGAACTAAAGCTGCTTCTCCCATGGTCACATCTATCAGGAGGAGAGAAAGCAGCATCACTGAAATCAGTGCCAGTCTATTTTTGTCTGCTCATCTTATCCCTGCCACACCCACTGCTGTAGGACATGGACCCTACTGCAATACCTGCAACAGCTACAACTACAGAAGCTCAGCTTCTCTCTTTCCCATCTACAACATCCAGAAGAAATACAGGTTTAATTTATGAAATGACTGATTGGAAGTCCCATTTTGCCTGGAAATTTTAGGTCAGAAAGCATTCTGTGTGTTCGGAGGGGAAGCACTTTTTCAATTGAAAAGAACTCTCTTAATTTTCAATGGAAACAAGATTTTAGTCAGCCCCAGATTGCAATGTTAATAATAGGTTTCTTTCAATATTTTGAACATATGAAAAAGATGCAGACCACAGTGAGAAACTACTTAAAACGTGATTGATTCAAGCTGAGGTGAGCGTTAAGCAAACCTCACAGATACCATGCTTGCTTTCTTTGCATACTAACCCCTTACTGCACATAGCGTTCATAATCAAATTCTTTGCCACATATAAAAGGAAAAATAAAGCTGTACTGTGGTGAGCTGCAAATTCCAGTGAGTGACTGGCCTCCTTAGCTTTGACATCTACTTCATATTTCTTACACTTCTACAACATATCAAAGTGTCCGTGCATCAGTCAACACAACTACATTTGTGCCTTGACACCGAGATGGTTTAAGAGCAAGAACATGGAGGTGAGTTTCAATAAACATTATCCTCTATTTACCCTTTTAAATAGCCATAATGGGAAGGTAAATTGAAAAGTAATATGGGCATTATCAGAATATATTGAACAAACACAGTGGGCTAACTGGATGTTGAAACATAGAATCATTTAGGTTGGAAAAGACCCTTAAGATCATCGAGTCCAACCATTAACCCAGCACTGCCAAGTCCACCCCTAAACCATGTCCTCGAGCACCATGTCTACCCTTCTTTTAAATACCTCCAGGGATGGAGACTCAACCACTTCTCTGGGCAGCCTGGTCCAGTGCCTGACTACCCTTTCAGTGAAGATTTTCCTAATATCCAATCTAAACCTCCTCTGGTGCCACTTGAGGCTGTTTCCTCTTGTCCTATCGCTTGTTACTTGGGAGAGGACACTGACCCCCACCTTGCTACAACCTCCTTATAGGTAGTTGTAGAGAGCAGTAAGGTCTCCCCTCAGCCTCCTCTCCTCCAAACTAAACAACCCCAGCTCCCTCAGCCGCTCCTCATAAGACTTGTGCTCTAGACCCTTCACCAGCTTCGTTGCCCTTTGGACACACTCCAGCACCTCAATGTCTTTCTTGTAGTAACCCAAGCGCAGGACCCGGCACTTAGCCTTGTTGAATCTGTATTTACAACTCGTTGGGTCCGGCCATCCAGCCAGTTTTTTTACCCAGCAAAGAGTATGCCTGCCCAAGCCATGAGCAGCCAGTTTCTCCAGGAGAATGCTTTGGGAAATGGTGTCAAAAGCTTTACTGAAGTCCAGTTAGACAACACCCACAGCCTTCCTCTCATCCACCAAGCAGGTCACCTTGTCATAGAAGGAGATCAGGTTAGTCAAGCAGGACCTGCCTTTCATAAACCCATGCTGACTGGGCCTGATCCCCTGGTTGTCCAGTACCTGCCGCATGATGGCACTCAGGATGATCTGATCCGTAACCTTCCCCGGCACCGAGGTCAGGCTGACAGGCCTGTAGTTTCCCAGATTCTCCTTCTGGCCCTTCTTGTAGATGGGCATCACATCCCAGTCAACTGGGACCTCCCCAGTTGGCCAGGACTGCTGATAAATGATGGCAAGTGGCTTGGTGAGCACCTCTGCCAGCTCCCTCAGTACCCTTGGGTGGATCCCATCCAGCCCCATAGACTTGTGTGTGTCTAAGTGGTGTAGCAGGTCGCTAACCATTTCCCCTTGGATTATGGGGGCTTCATTCTGCTCCCCATCCCTGTCTTCCAGCTCAGGGGGCTGGGTACCCCGAGAACAACTGGTCTGACTGTTAAAGACTGAGCCAAAGAAGGCATTAAGTACCTCAGCCTTTTCCTCGTCTTCTGTCACTATGTTTCCCCCTGCATCCAATAAAGGATGGAGATTCTCCTTAGCTCTCCTTTTGTTGCTAATGTATTTATAGAAACACTTTTTATTGTCTTTTACAGCAGTGGCCAGATTAAGTTCCAGCTGGGCTTTGGCCCTTCTAATCCTCTCCCTGCATAACCTCATGAGATCCTTGTAGTGCTCCTGAGTTGTCTGCCCCTTCTTCCAAAGGTCGTAAACTCTCTGTTTTTTCCTGAGTTCCAGCCAAAGTTCAGCCAGGCTGGTCTTCTCCCCCGCTAGCTTGTCTTTCAGCACATGGGGATGGCCTGTTCCTGCACCTGTAAGATTTTCGTTCTTGAAGAATGTCCAGCCTTCCTGGACTCCTTTGCCCTTCAGGACTGCCTCCCAAGGGACTCTGTCAACCAGGACAAAATCTGCCCTCCAGAAGTCCAAAGTAGCAAAGAGAAGGCTAGCAAATCACTTAAGCAATACATGCAGTCAGGAGTACCACTCAGTTGACAGGGTAATGTTCTTTAGACAAATCTACACCCAGGAAAAAAAAAAACACCCCATCAAAAAAACACAACTAAAACCAAGTTTAGGGTTTCAAAGCAGCGATGCTTGCTGTTGTTACAACCTGTTTATCCACCCATATTGACCAGGGAGCATTCTTAAGTGATGGTACTGATGTCATCAAGCCCATGTGCTATACTGATAAGCTGCTGATGCCAAGTTATGGATTCCTTTGTTACCACAGGACACACTGCTTCATAGCATCCAATATAATCTAAAAAATTACCAGATACACTTGTACTGTCACTGTGCCACTCAGTGATGCAGCTCCTTACTGTGAACAATTATACTTTACATTGACAAATAAAAAAAACATCCTTCTCCTATGCTGCCCAGAGGTGAATGAAAAAATTATGAATGAAAGTATTAACAAATTACCGATTTTTTTTTTTTTCCTTAAATTGAACCATTAATCAATTTCAGCTTCTGTTCTGGCAGAACAGATGTGGCCATTTGTTACTGAGAACAAAACTGCAAAGACTTTTTATGTGGAGTAGAATATCCTACCTGGAACAACTTCAAAAAGGAACTTTCCCGGACTTTCTTCATTGCAAGGATGCTCAATTACTCTGTTGCCAGGCAGAAAGATGGTACCCTAAAGAAAAAAATAATAACAAACATGGGATTAAAACTGCTACCACACTTCTGATAGACTAATATTTCTTATTTTTGGACTGAGGTATATGTGAATTTGTCGTGTTGCACCTGGGAAGCTGACTTCCAAAGAGAGACTGAGGAGGGATTATCCCAAAAGCCAACATCACAGATCCCCTTATTTAACTGAGGCATACAATAATGGCTTTAGGTTTTTTCCGTCTCTTGGGTTTTTGATACCATGCAGATTACTGTACTAATCACATGTACTAATTCCACTGTGCTGCAGAGAAAATTTGAGACTAAAAGAAAGAGTTAGTTTGACCCTGTCGGTGAAAAGCTATGAAGTTGCACATCTAAGGCAGATGAACTTACCAGCTAGGCTTCTTGGCTAAAGCCAAAGGATATGTGGACAGAAGGGTAACCTCAGTTTGTCAGGTGCATACTCAGTTCCTGCTCTGTGCCCTTTCACTGTACCATCCCAGGGAAGCAGTACAGAAAAAAACATCCCACTTTCATCCACCGGCAGCACCAGCAGACCAGCATGCTGCAAAGCCACAGCAGGCACAGTGAGAGTCCTGTTCAAAGATGCATTTGCTACAGGCAGACAGATATCGGATAATCTCTGTGATGGGCACTGAACACCTCTATCACAACTTTACTACCTTGAGAAGGCAGATGGGGAATTTTAGCTCTGCGTATTTGGTAACACTGGTTACCAAAAACAATGCCTACAACCCTCAAAACGTTTCTGGGGCTGCAGTGGAGTGAAGACGTAACTTCCCCCCGCTCCCTTTGCCCTGCTGTCACCTGGGATGGATAGACTGCCCCTTTCCTCCGAGAGCCCTTTTTCATTTTCAGATATTACAGCTCCCCCTAGCACCATTTCTTCCTCAGTTAGCAGGCAGTCATTAATGAAATTATGCTGGGGTGGCTGTCCAGGGGTAAATTTTGAGAGCGGCATCCTAGGAATTGTATTAGGTACAAGCTCTCCGTCACTGTTAATGAGCCCCTATCTCCAAAGTAAACAATTTGTATAACTTACATGGCCTAAACATAGAATATCTTGAGTTGGAAGGGCCCCATAAGGATTATTGAGTCCAACATGGAGCCCATTTTCCACAGTAGTTTCATCAAACGTTGTTTTTAAATATCTGTCAGACCCCTCATCTAAACAGCAGCAAAGATATCCCTGTATAGGAAAAAAGTCAATTCTGATATCCAGTATTCGTTGTTATGGCCTGTAACCTTCATTACGAGCAGAAACATTTACAATTATTGGGAAGGCAAGACAAGCAGAGTGCTATAGTCTTCTCGCAAAGGAGACCTTACAAATCGACAGGAAGAAGTCATCTGAAGAAACAGGTAACAAATGTTTCTCAAAATCAGTATTCGTACCAGCTGATGGGGAGACTGAGCTCTACACCGACTTGTCAGTATATTGCTGTCAGCCAGCGGGTACAGTGTGTCATGGGAAGCCAAAGACAGCATGTGCAGATACTTTATCGGATCATACAAAATCACCTCCATTAAACACTATGATACTTTTTACTGAAAACAGATGAAACAGAACAGTATTCTGCTGAGGTGATATTAGCAGCAAGCATTAGCAGTTATGGGCAGCTTTCCCCACTCACTGCATATACAGATGTATTATAAGCATTAAGTGCCTTGGTCCAATAGTTCTCCTAGAAGCTATTTTCCTTCGTTCCTGCTATAAGCAGCAACTATTAATAGTTGTCACACTCCAAAGCCTCAGGAGCTTGTGTCACTGAAGGTATACAACATATTTCAGCTAATTATACATCTTGCAATTAAACAAAAAATACACAATTAAGCAGACCTAGCCTACAGCAACTGTAAACTAAAATCAATTTACAAGACAGTAAATGAAAACTGCATTCAACTTTGCTGTCAACTCATTAGCAACAGACATGCTGCAGTCTCATGACAACCTGATGCTTTCAGATTCTTTGATGTAAAACCCTTTTACTATTTACTTTACAGTGAGCTGTCTTAATGACAGATTTTTGAGAACATAAGAACAAAACAGTCATAATACTTATAACCTTAGCGCCTTCATTTCATAGATGAAGCCTATTTCATCTACTAAAATGTGAGGCCTAAAGCCACACATGACAGCTAAGTTAATATGAAGGGAATCCAGACAGCAACACTGTACAGAATATTGCTGTGGTTTAAAAAGAAAACATGTCTTTAAATGGTAATTTTATTTTACTGTCTATTTTCAGAACTATTATTGGAAACATCAGGGCATGTGAAATACTTAAAAAAAAAAAATATGCATGTCTTTTTAAAAATAAGAAAATAGCTTTGTTTGTGCAACATGCACCTGGATGCCCCAGACTAGCGGGGAAAGCCTAAGAGGGCAATTGCAGCTCTTTCACTTCCCATTCTGTCTGCTTTCACACCCATCTGTCTGCCTTCACCATACGGCAACACTTCCCCTTCAGTAAGTTTTGTAGCTATCTACATAACTGTACCAAGGCTATCTGGAGTGTCCCTTTGCTTAGTTTCTCAGCAGCTGGCAGTGTGTTTCACACAAGCACACTGACACCCAGGGAACACATTTGTACTGTAACAAAACCCCTGTGGCCCCTCATGTGGCACAGCCCCGGCTGCCAGGTATTTGATATGAGCCGGGGGACCCCAGCCCCCACGTCACTGTCAGTCCCCTTGCTCAGTTGTCTTTCTGGGCCCTTAAGGTGCAACATCTGGCCCATCCTTACAGCTTGGATAATCCAGAGTACTGACTATCAGAGAGTTGCAAAGGTTCAACAAGTTAAAGGTCTGTTTTTCCGCTTGAGTTTCTAATTCCAGGGGGAAATAAGAGAAAACCAACTATATAGTCTTAGACACCTAACAAGACAGTAATTTGCACATAAAAGATTAAGGTGATTTCCAGAGGAAATACATGTTTTGACTTGGGTATCGGTGCATGTAGAAGTTCCACAATTAGAAAACTTAACATTGCTTCACATCAAACTCTACAAATCATTCAAAATGGTTTAAAAAAAAAAAAAAATCACAACCCAAGACTACAGATTGGACTAGATTAACACTGTGCTTTCAAAAAAAAAAAAAAGAAAATTATGGTGCCAGCAGGGAACAAGACATACAGTCTATAGAAATATAGAAAAAAGGGGAGTGGGAGAAAAATGTGGCCCTGACCCAAGTCCCTCCTCATGCTGGATGCCATTCTGTTCACGGGCTGTGCCCCCACCAGGTCAGCAGCACGTTGCAGAGCTCCTGCTGCGGTAAGCCCAGGTTGTTTTTTAGTTTCCAACACTTCTGTCCTTCCCAGGGCAGTTCTGTTTCTCTAGCTGAGTGCTGAGGGTGACTCACAGGATGGAGGAGAAGTCTGGGTTGCTTGAGAAGCATTGACCTTTTCCCTAACCAAATATCAAGCCGACTTTCAAAGGAGCTTCTCACACACATGGCTTTCACTACAGTACACTGTTGCTTCAAACCAAAGATCACCTAAATAGCAGAACAACGTTTTTGTTAAAATTAAAAATCTGCATATATGAAGCCTCTAACTGAAGAAAAATTACTACTCAGTTAACAAAGTGCCTGATAAAATACTGCAGTGCAGCAAGAATGACATAAACCTACTTTGGATTAGAATCACAGCATTACAGTCTTGCTCAAAGAGATGTTTTATCCCATACTGTTCCCCTGTAACACTTTCAGCACCATTCAGCAAATGAACTTCATGAGGAAGCATTTCCATGCTGGAGACAGGATGGCCACCACACAAGTGCTTCGTGACAACCAGCTGACAGATAGTACTTCTGTTTTGCACACTCTGTGTAACACTGTAACAGTGAAGCAATCCTGTGCCCCTTTCTCTTTCTTTTCCCTTACTTTTCTCTAGGTACACTTTCACCAGCCTCGTTTGAACTTCGTTTTCGGAATCAGACTTATCACCTGTGTTCAAGAGATACCAGGTTTTCCCCAAGAAAGCTTATGATACAAGGAATTTCCATGCCTTTAAGATGCTGACTGGCAACTACGAAGACAAATACATGATTTTCAATACCTCTGGATAGATTTTACTCAAAAAGCATGTAGACACGTGAGGAAATTAACTGCTTTCCTGCCAAAATAATGTCTTCAGTATTTATTCTAATACAGTCCCCCAAGGCTTAACTGGTCTATTTGCTTGCTCATAGTTTGTCCTGCCACCTCTTAAAAAAGTTACTTCTGAAGTCCACAGCGTCAGCAGTTATATCAGATGTTCTTTCTTGCCTTCCAACTTTGATGATTAACCAAAGATCATTGAATTCTACTTCGTCTTTCAAGATAAGTGCTGCATTTATGTATCTGTTTTTCTAGTTTCATGGGAAACTCTTCCCAGAAATTTTTTTCTGGTACTTTTGTATAGTTTCAGTTAACTTAGAGGATCTTCAGATAGTTTCTTCCTCTTTCTCTGTTGCTAGGGGTTGGTTAACCAGTTAACCACAACAGGACAGAAGTGGCTGTGCTGGTTTGGCAGCAAAGGTTTCCAGGGTTTTATCCCTGCCAGAGTGCAGCCCCTGAACAAACACAGCCCAGCTACTCATGCCTCTCTGCAAGAAGGCTCCCAAATCAGCTGGACTGCGCTCCTCAGAAAAAAACAGTCCTCAGAAACAGTGCTAAGGTCTGCAGCCCACGATCAACTGCTATTCCCCATGCCAAGCTCCCTCCCTCCCTAGGTGGTGTCAGACTAAACATCTCCACAGCTCTTAGAAAAGCTTTGCTCAGAGAGGGAAGAAGGTGTAAAGAAGAATCAGCTATCAGAGAAGCAGGAAAGTCATCAGCCAGGAAGGAGGCAGCTGATGGGGAGGATTAAGAGGCAGAAAGGATCTTTGGGTACATGTCTGTTATATGACTCACAGCCATGTACAATGCAGAGCTGTTGTGTAGTTTCTTTTGCCACTATTGCTGTTTCTGTTTCTGTCTTGAGTGTCATACTTACGAATAACTGTGCACTTCAAC